TTGGGTATAGGAAATAGAGAAGCTAAGTCTTGAAAAAGTTGTTAGTAGGTATCAGGAAGATTGATTTTTGGAAGGGAAGATGTAAATATTCTTCTGGATGTTTGTTGAAAACGTAGAACTTTTTATGTAGTTGGTTGACTAATTGTCTGAGAATGTGAAATTGTATCCATTCCGTGATGGGGAAAATGAATTTGAATTCAGAGAAAAGGTTCTGGGATCAGATGGGAGATTTGATAGTTTTTTGAAAAAGCTTTCAGTTAAAAGATCAAAATTATAAAAGCATCTCAATACTCGAGCCATTGTGGTGGTTATAGAAGGGGCCTCTAATGAAAGGGCATGAAGCAGTTTGATTTTGATTCTGGAGGAAATTTCATTAGGATGTTTGGAAAGCTTCGGGAGAATATTTTTAATAAGTTCTTCTGAATACATCAGGAGTTTTTTATAATCTATCTTCACTGTGGAGGGGTCAATAAAGTAATTTAAGCCATATTCTAGGATCTGAGCAACTTGTCAGTGTTGAAGAGTATAGAGGTCTGAGGTTTGGAGATATATAGCAAAAATAGATTTGTTGATGACGATATTGATTTTTTTTTTTATGGTCCTGTTGATATAGCCAATATTATATTTATTGAGGTAGTTAGTCTGAAAGTCTTTTACTAGCTTTTCATATTCTCTCTGATATGTTTCTTTTAGCTCTTCAGATTTGACAAAGGATTTAAAGAATGCTCTATCTTTGTATGAGATTTTTGTAAGGACTGCTGATAAGGCCTTTGGGAGTGGGATATGAGGAAGATTTCTGATTTTTATGAACATCTCCACAAGGGATTTTGATGAGAGATTTGTATCATTAATGATTGCCACCATTTCAGTAATAGAGAATTGGTAGTCTGGTGAACTTGCATTTTTAATGTCTTCAGAATCAAATGTGTCTTCAATTTCATTGGCCCATGAGGGAGGAGTTAATTGTTTATTACTGGGGTCGATTTCCATATCTGTGACTGTGTTCTGATTTAAGGAAGATTGAACTTGATTGATGCATTTAGGTGTGCTATCACTAAGAAAATTGCCTAATTTGTTATTATTAAGGGATTGATTACCTCTTTATTAGTTAATTTAGCTGTAGGTAAGTAAGGGGAATCTTGATTTGTAATCTTTGTGGGTTGCTGATCAGTATATTGTGGTATGGGAGTGTTTGGAGAGGGTATGGGAATTTTCCTTTTTTAGAGAAAAAAAGTGTTGGAATGGTGTCAGTGGAAATGGAGATTTGGTTCCAGGGATAGTGAAGTTTGTAATCCATTGTGTTTTTGATGACTTGACGAACTACAAGTGTTCTGTTATCCTCTGATAAATGAAAGGTTGGTTGATGTTCCATGAATTTATTGAGAATAATGAGGTCATTGTGAGGAAGAATTTCGGCTGAAACATTGAGAGAAGGGAAAGAGACTCGTAAAGTTTGTTTTTTGATTTCAAACTTGATGCGGATGATTTTTAGGTCTAAGTTTAGATCTGAGTTGGAGAGGTTAATAGTTGAAATTAGCCAGGATATAGGGCAGTGTTGAAGAATAGAGACTTGAAGTTAAGAGGTTGGTTTTGTTGCGAAAACGAGAGAAGTTTTGTTTTGTTTATAGATAACCGAGATTTTTGGTTTTTTATTATCTGTTAGAACAATGTCTAAGATAGAGAATTCATTTTTATTGTACATAGCCTTGGAGGGATTGCTTTCAGGTTCTTTTTGCTTGCCTTTAAACGAAATTTTGTTTAAGATTTTTTTTTGAAAATTTGTGATTTGGATGATTAACGGAAAGAGTTTTTTAAATATACATAATTGTTTAGTATATAAGAATTATTTATTTTATTTTAATTCACAATTAAATTATATAAAAATTATTTATTTATTATTATAATAAATTAATTTAAAATTTTTTTTAAAATTTTATATAATAGTTAAATTTATTTATTAAAAAAATATATTAATCAATTTTTTATAATAAATAATTGATTTTTTAATAATTATATAATATTTAATTTACTTTTGTAATTAATCTAATAATAATATTAAAAAAACTCTTTCTGTTGATCCTCTGATTATATACAAAAAAAATGGTCACAAGAAATTTTTACATTTCTTTGCTAATAAAGTTTTAATACTTTTTTTAAAACAATTTGAAGTATAACTTCAAGAGTCATTTCTATTTTTTCTTTTTTATTTACAAACCTTTTTACTCAAAAACGTGATTTTTAATAATCAAGAAAAGTTAAATAATATCTTTGATATCAATGGCAAGAAAGTTTCTAAAGAAAGAAAAACTGATTGTAAAGTATTTAAAGGTTTATCAAACTTTTAAAATGAGAGATTTATAAAGATTTTCTATAATAAAAAGGCTTATTTTTCTGTTTTGACTGTTATAGAACTTCTACTTTTATTGTTTTCTGGAAAATTTTGTCTATCTCAGTTTGATCTTAAATTTTGAATAGCACAAATCCTCACCAAAGGTGGTTGGCTAACATGAAACATATTAGTTTTGAAATGTAAACAAGCTCCTATTGGTTATATTCACGTATTCTAATAACATTATTAATAATTAAAAAAAAGATTTTAGAAACATTTGCTTTCAAAAGCTCAAGTTCTTTAATAAAAACTTTCATAATATCAAAAGATCAAGTAATAGATAATGTGGATTATAAATTCATATCTCTTACTTAAGTTTCTCAAGTAGTGACAAATCTTTAAAAGAAAAAAGTTGAAATCTAAATGTTTTCCTTGAGATATCCTAATTTAATGTTCACTTAAATAAAAGATTTGTTGGATTGACTTGTCTGATACTACAAGTGATAAAAAAGAAGATTTCTTCTGAGATTTAAGTGAAACAAGAAGACTATTCTAATCAGGCAGATCTTTTTTGAAAAGAAGTTGTTTTTATTTTTAGATTTTTTTGGTAGACCTTGAATTGTTTCCTTCCCTCAATCATTTTCCCTTTGCCCCTTTTTAATTTAATAATTCATTGATTTTTGAACAATCAATCGTAACAAACTGTTAATAATAATCCTGATAAGTAAAGGTTATTACCATCTATCAGATAAGTGTAATATTGTTTTCAAAATTTGACTTAGAATACATATGTATGAAAAAGAGTTAATCACTTTGTGAAAGTCTATAAAATATTGTAGATTTGCTTTAATTTTTCAATAAAGACAAGCCATCATGGCATGATTGTGGGTTAAAAAAAAAAAAAAAAAAAAAAAAAATCTAATAATAATAATAATAATAATAATAATAATAATAATTAATTTCAAATTAAAATTTAAAAGAAAATTTAATTGTTAAAATTTAAACAACGAATTACATAAAATTTTGAAATAATATGTATATATATGTATGTATATTTTAAATAAAAATGTTATCCTCAATTTTATGCCACTCAATACCTTTTAATACGACCTTCCCGTTATCTGGTGTATGAAGTGTCATGCGCTTGGACTTCATCGGAATTGTTTAATCGGGCTCCGTAAATTGATCTCATCACATGAATCTAAAAGTATTCTGAAAGCCAATCTCGGTGTTTTGCAACGTAATGAAAATTGTGAATATATTTCATTTAAATTTCATTTAACAGTAATAATCTTACGAGGATTCTGAAACATCTACCCGTCAATTTATAAAGGATGAGATTGAATTTGACCCTTTTTCAATCCATATATTTTTTTGCTTATTTTCAATTTATTTAAAAAATCATAGTGTTGCCTTTGTATATCTTTAATATTTTTATAAGCTCCCATTAAGTCCTAGAATTAATTCATATCCATAGTAAAGAAACAAGATATCATACAGAATTAACACCCAATTGCAGTAATAAAATTGTCTTTATCTTACAGTTAATATCCAAAAAAAAAAAAAAAAAATCTTTGCTTGAATACCATTGTTCGGGCCCTGATGTAACGGGGTTCATTATACTGAGTTTTTATTGCGGTCAAATCTGGAAACAATCGGTGGCTAATCCTCGGCGACCTTCCTAGGCCTCACATCATTCCTAATAGGAATCTTTAACCCTTGTTTTGCAAAAGCTTTTGAAAGCTCCGTGGATTCTGAAGCGTATTCTTGTCATCAATGGTTTATATCATGACACGAGAAAAGAAGACTTTTCTTTTGTTTATTCTTACCAGTCATGCCGGGAAATTTCTTGGCTGAATACACCGTAAAAGGATCGGAGAACGTTGTTGCAATTATTTCTGTTCTAGTATTTATTAACCGATCTTCGCTTGAAATAACAAAATGTTCAAAAGTAAGAATAAGGTCATACATCAAACCAGATAATTTGAAACTTTTTGATATCAACCTTCCCAACTTCATTAGCGAAAATTTTAGCGTATATTTGCCTTCCGTTCGTATTGAAAGATCAGGAAAGCAAAAGTAACACCCCGCATCTCCAGCGGTATTCTTCAAAATAGCGGGGGACGACACGAGAGATCCCATTAGTACCCTCGTGGTTTTTGGAGGATTACTAATCACGTTACGTTCCTCCCTGCAATCCTCAGACCATAGCGTGACATGAAGGACAAAAAATGGATTCTGTAGCATGCTGCGATGACAAAGATCAGAGAAAATTTTAGTGTATCAAATCATCAAACGAGAATGCAGTAATATTTAGTGGATTGCATAAAAAGACGAAAAATATTATAAGATGAGTCACACGCTAAGATAATATGTAGAAGAATGAAAATGGGAAAACTAACCTTGTATCCAGATTTCCTTTCTCATCATTAACCACCAATTGTACGATCGGCGGAGGATCGATCGGTCGTCGATCTTTTTCACCAAAGCCGCACATACGAGCGCGTAAGGGTTGTTGACAAACTACTAATGAGTATGACCTTCAAGAAAATCGAATAATTAATGGCAAGTAAAAGCATTAGTTATTGATCCTTCATCCAAACCAGGAGTGATAATCCCAATAGATCACGGCTACATCTAACTGAAATATGATATTTAAACTTTTTTTTAATCAAGCATACCTCTTGTCATCTTCAATAGTTTGTGTGTCAAAAAATCCGAAACGTTCCTTTTTAAATTTTGCCTTACTATTCAATGCTGGTGGTGTAGAATTTTTTACAGAATTTGATGATTTATTTTTATTATTTTCATGAATATTTGAAGAATTTGAGACACCGATGATATCGGGTTTTGAAGTCTGTTTATGACTCTGTTCTGAGTATTCATTAGGAAGCGGGATTTGAGGCGGTATATTGGGATATGGAACGTAATGACGCGGAGGCGGATGGTATAAATGCATATGACTTTGTTGAAATGGAGGTGCGGTGTAATATCCGTCTGAAAGTGGAGGAGAATATTCACCACGTCCAGGGCTATGATATCCGGTTCTCATGGGTGCACCAGCTTGTTGATGGCGTGTAGGCGAAACATCGTCGTGTTGTTGGCTATACATTATGAATTCGAAGGTACAGTCGGAGGAATCGTGACAAAAGTATAAGACTCAGTTGATATACAGTAATTTAAATAAAAACAAGGTATGAGTTTTGAGTTATTGAGTTATTTATATGGATGCTGTTCCCAAATGCCCATGATATTTATAAAACTATCGTGTAGAATTTTTGAAACCCCTGAAATGCTTATCTTGGATAACCTGATTTAAGTCTATATTAATTGACTTATTTAATGTGTAGTCACAACATCGGAAAATTACGCTAGCCAACAAATATTTCTATAAGCCACTGACCTGAAATGGCGAATTTAGAAAAAGATCTGTTAGAACATCAACAATATCATTTTTATATTGCCAAACCGATATTGTGCGAACATTTACTACTTAATTAAAGTGTTGACCAGAACACATAACGTAAGGGGGGGGTTTGACTAGGATAAGCCGAGTCGCGGAACTCTGGAGTCGTTTCAAAATTTTTCCATTATGATACTTGACTAATTCACGGTGTCACATCCACCATGCATCCCGGCTTTGATAGAACCAGATTTCTTTTACGCCGAAACCCCATAATTGGGGAACAGGACAACATCGTTTCCCAATATTTGGAATAGTACGTATAGAAGCAATTTTGGAATTTCCATAGCTTAAATTTACAGTACATTCTTTATTTTTATATTATTATTTTTTTTTTTAGCGAACTGGCATTAAATGCATGACTTATAAATAAAGTATTTACGTATATAAGCTTAGCCATGTTTAGTACTCTTTCCGCTGATCCTTTGATCACACACAAAAAAGATGTTCGCAAGAAATTTTTTATTTCTTTGCTAATAAAGTCTTAACACTATCC